AGATGACATCTTTTTATATGAGCTGATATAACAACTTGAATGTTGAATGTCGTGGATGGAGGTAATATAAATAATTGGTAGAACACACAGTTATTGAAAAAATATACTCTTTATACAATCGTAGATTCTCATCGCTTTGAGCTACTGAATATATATTCACCGAAAATAAATAATCAAACGAGATCGAAATCTATTCGACAGAATGCAATTTACACATATTACGCAATGAAATTAAAATATATTTGCATTAACACCCATAAGTAAAAAATACTGAAAAGATGTAGGTAATATAATATACAATGTACAGATAATACACACAATATTCAGGTCGCATTTATAGTAAAAAATAAATATAGCTTGATTTACGAAGTGTATATACACAATTTATACTCTGGTAAAAATTTTAAGGAATTAAAAATTAAAAATGAATGGTTGAATGAAAAATTTCTTTTTAAGCCCACTTTAGACGATCTTCCAGACAAGATTTCATAGACTTTTACGTACAATTTTACAAAGTAACACTTAAAAATTTACATATACGTAGACATAGAGAAGCATCTACAGATTTAACACTGATTCTTTAAGACTTTCGAGATAGCCGTGACATATAAAGCACATCAGTTGATACGCTTTCAAGTTGGATGTGTGACAAGCTCATAGACTAGTATTAAAAAAATCGGATGTAGTTTTAAGGTTCCTCACATTGTCTATCTCTTTTTAATGACGTCAGAAGTGAGAAAATGTATGCTAAAAATTCTTGTGAAATACGTTGAAATAAAAAGATATATATCTATAAAATGACACTTGCAATTGATTAAATAAATCTGTGAAATATTCCGTGCATTCCTCTTTTGCTTTAATGATGAATAATTTGTCATAAATTAACCTAAATATAAATAGGCGGAGAAATAGGTTAAGATGAATTGTATGTCACGTTAATTTACAACAAATTATTGATTGTTAAAGTAAAAGGAGGGTGCACGGAATATCTTATAAATTTGTTTTATCGATTACAAGTGTTATTTTATGGATGTATATTTTTATTTCAACATATGTCGCAAGAATTTTTCGCATGCATTTTCTCGCTTCTGACGTCATTAAAAAGAGATAGACAATGCGAGGGAGCAATTAAAGAGTGCAATGCTCGCAGTAAAGACCATCCTGCTCTGGATGTTGTAATAATCGGCTAAAGTGGGCACAACTTATGCATTAGGCACAACGGTTCAACCAAGTCAATGTACCTTCAATATCTCACACAATAATCCCTCTTCGTCTGAAGTGGATCATCTGCTCCCTCGCCGATCGCTCGTAGAACTTGGTCCTCGGGTCTACTGCGGGTAACTCCGGGCACTAAAAACATAATAGGACGAAAAATCGCATCGGAAAGCTTCAATAGATATTGAATACAAATGTATAATATGTAAAATAACAATGATTATCCGTAATGAATTATTTATAAAATCGTCGGCCGAATTTGAAAATCGCCTAGCTCACAAAATCCCAATTTTACAGAAGAGCCAAAAACTGGTAACTTCCGTAAAACAACGAATTTTAAAATTCGTGGTTTTACAAAAGTTATCAATTTTTTTCTCTCCTGCAAAATTGGAATTTTGTGAGTTAGGAGATCTTCTAATTTGGCCAACGAAATGGACAGTACACTAGCGAACGATATTGATGAGCGTGTGAGTTGAATAACTTACTCCCGAATCACGCCGCATTTCCAATGCTTTTATCATTGCTTTATTTATATTATTTTCTCTGTCACCGTGAGAAGGATGTGACGACACCCATGGTATCTCTGACGGTAAGACCTCCATTTCCGTCAGCGTTCTCAACGTAGCCCAGAATACGACAGCTTCACGCAGGTCGATACAGGCCTGCGTTAAAAATGCATATTCGTGCAAGCATAAAATTCGTATCGACATTACATTAATAATATACATTCCAAACGGAGATAATTTGATTTATGACTTCCTAAGTTATAGAATGTAATATTAAATTATTAAGTGATATCTCACATACTTTTGCAGACAATTTTATCGCTACTTCGTCAGCTTCATTCTCCAAAACTCTATTATACGGAAGTTCGTATACGATTTTCGTTATCCGATCTCCTATCGTATGAACAATAGCAGCTGCCATGTCGGGGAATGTAAACCAAACTAACAATATAGGTACTGCTATTAGTAAATCCAATAGAAATTGATCGGACATCATTTCAAGCTGTTGACAGAAATCATTAATTAATCTTGTAGAGTGGTTGCGATATATCTGAAATTTATCCTCTCCTTTTGTAATATATATTATTATACTTACCGAATGTGAGAGTAATGAATGAGCCATTTCGTGTGCCAACAGAAATTCCAATTGATCATCATTTTCAATGTACCTTAGTAAGTCTAGAGAGACAAAAATACTTCCATCCTAAGGAAAGAAATTGTATGAGGAAAGAGATAACACGATGAGATTGATAATGTACTTACTGGTAGAGTAAATGAATTCATTAGCGGTATATCAATAACAGTTAAATTCCACTTTGTTTCTCTCATAGATTTCAAGTCTTTATTTGCTACTATAAGCCTTCTAAATGCCCTTAAGATTCTTTTGTAAGCAGGATGATCTGGTGGTACTATATTTTTTTTGTAGATTTCTAGTTGCTAAAAATGCCACAGAAAGAAAGATTTATATATTTATCGTGTATAACATATAGAAATTTTTTAGATACACACGATTATATTTACTTACAAGTTCATGAAGCCTTTTTCCTAAGTCTCTCTCCTGTTCCTTGTTGAAAATAATAAATCTTGAACGCTGTGTCAGTGGATCAGTTTTGAAGTGAGTTATATAATAAGTAAACAACATTAGGCCATAAAATCCAAAGCAGCCTTGTAAAAAAAGATTAAGTAAGATAAGTTGTATGATATAAAAAACATACTGTAATGTACAATTAATTAAAGTTTAAAAAAGCTTACCCAAGAACATATTGCGTCTCTCTCTGTACCACTGCTTGTATTCCTCCTTTTCCTCTTTAGATTTACGTGCCCACCACTTCTTAATAGTACGTCCCATCAAAGCTGCACCAATGTGTAGGACAGGACGCAGAAGTAGAGTCATAATTGGTGGGATACATAAGTGTTGTGTGGTGCGAAAGTCACATTTTTGCAATTTGAAGTATTGCAACTGTCCGCTGTCCAATCTCTCTTGAACAAGAAACCTCTTGCGCAACCACGTATGAAAATGATGACTTCCCACAGAACGAAGGACAAAGTAGCTTATGCTCAACCGAGCATTTCTTTGATATGAATTTCTTAATACAGACAACATGTCTCAGAAAGCAGAATAGAGACCCAAACACAACAATTACATCCACGAAACAAATGAGGATACAAAGCAATCGTATAAAATTGAGTGCGATGCTACAGAACTAAAATTTCGGACAATATCCCCTTAGATTTTTATACAAAATATATGTTCAACAGAAAAACAAATAAAATAACAAAGAAAATAACAGTAAAAAATTATATAAATTAGTAACAATTCAAAATTAACAAGCAGTTCTTACAAATCCACTGGCAATCAAATCAACATTTGACACAGTATAGTAACACATCAAGGTAAAAGTTGAAGGTCTTTTAGAGAAAATCATCACTAGATCATCTCAACGATTTAACAAACGTAGTGTTGTCTGTGTAGAGACAGAGGTGTACAGATCTCTCCAATCATATATAATTCACAAAAGCTGTCAACAGGAGTAGGCATACGCCAAGTCGTGCATGATAATTGAACATTATCCCGCCAGCTATGCCGTACTTGAGAGCAGAGCAGAGCATCTTCCTCGAGAAAAATATCGTTATCAAGTGCAGCCAAGTTGGACGTCGCTGAATTCTAACGAAACACGATGGATCCCTCAGCGCATGGAGCTCGTTGCTTTTCGAGCGTGTCGTCGTCCACCAATCTGTGCCCATTCGATCGCAATTCACGGTCCCGACTTGATCATTCGACAGTTTTGGTTCTAGCTAGAGCAATTGTCTTCAAAGGACAGCTGCTCGTGAAAGTGACGTCTGCGTACCTGATAGAGACGCGAGGAGATAATGAGTGTTATCAGAATAACGAGGTGAACTAATGACAATGGAGAAGATATTGTGAAGACATTCCACAAAGAACTCTCATTCGTGTCACTTCACATTTCAGTTGTGGACATTTTCCAATAACAATATTAACTTAATTTATGTTGACAGACATGCATTTCAATTTTTCTGATTCATCGTCCGCGCGGTTACTGAGCCGGTATAACCCTAATCAAAGATTATCTAACAACTTACGTAATTGTATGAAATAACAATTTCCATTCAATTTATACCCGTTGCTTGCGCGCACAATTGTAACCATTGATAAATAAAATTTTTCCTGATCAGACGTTGGGCCGAATTATTTGTAAAATAACAGATCTTTTAATTTGCTGTTAAGGAGATACTGGAGTTGATGATGAACTCGAACAATGTCGATAATGCAGAGACGATCGTCACTAACATAATCACGCTTCTTGAATTTCTTGTATATATAAAACTTACATGAATGTGTTGCTTTGTTTTACTATATTCAATGAAAAACCTAATTAAATATATATAAATCTTTCTGTAAACTTTTTCGATATTCTTAAGCTTCCAAATGCAGATTTGAAGGCAGAGCAATGTTCTTCAAAATTTTTCAGTTTGGCACATCCACTCTTTTGCGTCGTCTACAATTGGTGCTTTCCAATTGCTTAACACATCTTGACACACACGTTTACAAAACTAATTTATTGGTCACATATTATCTAAAATATTTTGTAAGATAATATGCAACCAATAAACTGGTTTTGTGTAACACAGTTACGCAACTGGAAAGCATCCAATGACAGGAGTAGTAGTAATAAGAAATAAGCAGTAAGTAAATGGATCAATCACAATCGATTATTGTTGAATCATGAGAATGGAATTGGTCAATTTACTTACTGCTTATTTCTTATTACTCCTTATACTCTTATACTCCTACTGCCATTGGCTTGGTTTACATCATGCACTTGATACGCGTATTAAATAATAACTTTCTATTAGATAATCTTAAGACCGACAATGCATATCAACAGCAACGCATTCTATCAATACAATACGTTTTGTTGATGAGTATTATACCAGCTTAATATACCATTGATTATACATATCGTTGATATTAAGATTATCTAATAGAAAGTTACTATTTAGTACGCGTATCAAGCACGATGTAAACCAAGCCATTGGCCCATATTCTCAATCCTCTTTTATCTATAAAAGTGCCTCTAATGCCCAACTTCTTCACCTCCGGTTAACTTTGGGTGCTTTTCAGTTGCGTACACCGTGTTACGCAAAACCAGTTTATTGGTTGCATATTATCTTACAAGATATTTTAGATAATATGTGACCAATAAACTGGTTTTGTGTATGTCAAGTTGTATTAAGTAATTGGAAAGCACCTTTTGTCTACTAGTTATTCTATTGAAATTGATCAATCATATTTATGGTTGGCAAGATTAACCAATCACGGTTGACATTTATCCGACAGATAAAGTTAACCGGAGGTGAAGAAATTGGGCATAAAAGAGAGTTAGAAGCCACCTGATTGACTGAAAAGCAATATTCAAGGCACTTTTATCGATAAAAGAGGGTCCAGAATATAGCCCATAATTGCAGCCACAGCCGCAGTTGCGAGTCGCTAGTGTGATACGGCTATTAGGCCAGTTCTACAATATGTCGTATGTCGCTGTCAGACATCGGAACGCAGTCGATAGTCCAATAAGGAACTTCTTAGTTGCTTTATTAGTTGCATCAGGAATCGTGCCGTTGTCTCCACTATTTTCGTAGGGTGGGACCCGATTGACCACGATACGATTGGACACAGATTGTAATGATTGGTTCGACCTAGTAATTCACTAGATAATTCTTTTCATCGGTTAGTTGTGTCCAATCGTATCGTGGTCAATCAGAACGCTCCCATTTTCGTGTATGTACCACCTATAAGTCCTTAGTTAATTCCAATAACGAACAACCTGTACCTCCTAACCTTACAAATCCTGATGTCATACATACTCCATATAGCATAAGTCGTAAATATCCTCGGGGAAGGCTGAAGGTTTTGCGGTATATCCACTAAAATTAGGAGAAAAAATAACAATTGTATGCACGAATCGACATATTGAAGTCATTTGGAGTATGTCAATCTACCACGACGAACTGGAAATCGAAGATTTTGAGTACGATAAGAGGAGATTTATTATTACCCGTGTCCTTGCGGTGATCAGTTTCAGATATCGAAAGCCGACCTAATCGCCGGCGAAGAAGAAGCCACGTGTCCCTCCTGTTCCTTAGTAATTAAAGTGATATACGACAAAGAAGCCTTTTCTTCTAAACAAAGGGAGTTTATAAAGGGTGAACTTGTAAAGGCAGAACTCGTTAAAGACTAAAGGTGAATAATATCACATTTGTAAAGTTGTTCACACTAATGGATGAAAAAAATAATAACAAGCTTCAAGAATGTTTTATGTGTTAAATGTTTACTATTGTTTAGTTATTTATTAATAATTTATTAATAATTAAGTTATTAATAATTTTTGTCTATTTTTAGATCTCTTAGGAAACTCTAGATCGCTTAAAAAAGCTTAAATTCTCAACAAGAATGGCAGGGCGTGGTAGAGGAAAGCCTACGTTGTCCATCAACACTGAAAAATCGGACAAGGGAGAACTGCCACCAGTAAAACCTCCACCAGATTATCCTGATGTAAATCTCACACGTACACGCTTTGAGATGACCAACGAGCTTGAGTATTTAGTAGAGTTGAAAAGGGGTTTTGTTGAGTCTATGCGGAACTCTGAGTACTACTTGCAACTAGAAGAAGAGAAGAAGGACATTGAAAGATATTCTGATTGCTATAGGGAAACGATTAAAGAAAAATCGGTGCGCGAGATCGTTGATTGCGACTGGAGCATGTTTCCGGCGGAATTAGCACCGTCATCGGAGCGTAAAAAGACTGTTTCAAAGACAAAAAGTGACAAAAAGGAGATGATTAAAGCTAAGAGGAAGAAGCCAAGACCCATAGACGACGACGACGACGATGACGATGATGGTGGCAACAAGCAGAATACTGAAGTGAAGCTGCAGCAGCAGAAGAGCCAGCAGGCGCAAAACAACACGGACAAGGAAATGAAGAATATCAAGGAGGAGGAGGAGGACTCAGAGGATTCGGAGAATATGGAGGAGTACGAAGAAGTAGACCAAGAAATGGATTATGGCACTGATTATCTGAACAATTACTTCGACAACGGCGAGGATCTCGACGACGATGACGACAATCCGGACGACGGGCCTGTTTATTGATATTGTCGTTGGGTATCGCCCGTAGAGCCTGCCCTTCCCCTTTTCCCTCTCATCACCCCGTGAAGCTTGCATTCGATTAAATCTGGACGATCTGTTCGATCTACCAGTCTTCTACAGGTGTGTCCTCGCGGATTGATTATATATCGTACTGTTAGACGATGACGACGACGATAACGACGACGGGGAAATTTTGGTCCACAGAATCACCACTAAGTTCGGCAAGAAAACACCGAATAATTATTCGCGAAAACCACGCGCGCGCGGAAAATTCGTATCTTCACTCGTTGTCGTCGCAGCAGCATGCTCACAGTCAGAATATCGGGTTGGCAACTTAATGCTCGGGTATTTACTTTCGTGTGTGAATTGCCGGCAGTTACAGTGCCACGAGAAGTTTACAAGTTACACAATCGGTGGTGCCGCTTGAGGGGCTGAGTCGCGAATTCAATCCGGCTATTAAGGTTCTACTGATTCAACACTGTTCCAATGACAGAAACATCAATAATATAATTATCTTGAATATTTCCAAAAAGAAGAGAGAGGGAGCTTTTAAAATTTTGTTAAAAGCTATTTCTTTATGCTAAGTTGTGATGTTTAAAGCGTGATCTACAATATACTCTGCTTCTTTCTTCTTTCTCTTTATCTCTTTCTGACTCAAACCTCAAGCTTTAAGCCAGAAAAAGATAGAAGACAAGAAACAGGACGCAAAGAGCATATTGTAGATCAGACATAATGAACATTCAATCATTGTGTTATTTCAGTAATTTTATTGTATTACTTCGGTAATTAGTACATAGTTCATTCTTCGGCTCGTTACTCTGATACAACCGCCATTGTCTAAAGGCTCGTCTACAATGTCTGTAAGAGTATAGCTGTAAGGCTATAACATGAGCATGAAAATAATTCATTTCGCGTCTTACAGCCTTACAGCCATATTCTTACAGACATTGTAGACAAGCCTTAATATACCTCATCAAAATTGCAATCGACATTTATTGATTATCTCATTTCCCGTTGCGTTTGTCGATTGCCAGCAAATCAAAGTTTTGTACAAATGTTAGTCTTGTTAATAATTCCATTAAATATTTATTAACAAAAATATAAAACACTGATCGTGCTCTTTTATTAGTTCGGTCATCGGGAAATTTATCTTACAGATGCAGAGCGCAAAACCCGATGTGATCAGTCACAGATGACCGGGGAAACAATTCTGTGACATCGGCCGGTCTCGCCAGTGAAAAATGATCTCAATTAGGAGTAAGGAATCTCCAAATTAAATATTAAAAATCGAATTCCGTAATAACCTTCTAGCTCTTACGGAAAAACAACATATTGATTAGCTGTCGTGCAGACTTCCGCCGCGCGTATTGTGTGCAGGAGCTATTAGTCTTCATAGCCCCTCGTCTATAATCGCACTTTTCGCTCCGTACATATTTTTACATCCATGCTCAAAAGAATTACGCTCTATACATAATGTCCCATATTCTGAACTCTCTTTTATAGATAAAAATACTTTGAATATAGCTTCTCAGCCAATCAGGTGGCTCTTAAGCCTCTTTTAAAAGCACTTTTATAGAAAAATTAAAATTACGAAATTTTGTTGAAAAGAAAATCAGAATAATTAAAGATTAGATAATGAATCAAATTGAAACTCTATTATAAAAAAAAATTAATGTAACTACAGATAATATATCAAATATTACCTCAGTAATAACGATCTTTAATATGAAAAATTGAATTATAAATTACATAAGATAAACTTTAAATAAATTGCCTTCTATCGTCAATATGTACCACAGTTGAATTATTTGTAATTATGTTATATGTGGCTACTTCAAGCTTCTACGCCATTCCTTGATTGTCCTTGATGTTCCTACTTGCGGCATGAGACGGATGGGAGTAATGGATCCTGCACACAGGACGCGGTAATAGGTTTGTTCTTTCGACCTGACCTAGGGCTGCACTGGAACTGTACTAGTTGAAGAAAGTTCAAGATAGTGCAGACCAATGCAAAGATACATATGGGTCTGAAAAGAACGGGTAAGAGCAAGTTAGAGCAGTGTAAGATGGCGGACAACATGGCTGGATTAAATAACATAGATCAATTTATGGTCATGTTTTCGCACTTATAGCATTTTATGTTTTGTTGAACAATCCTATTTTTTTTAAAAACTGTTTTGAGTTGGATACCCATACAACAAATCTCTCCGAAAAAACGTCCAAGAGCCTTCCCAGGATGTCTTTCGGATATTTTGTGCTGTTTGGATAACATTCTAAATACTTCTTTTATGTCATTCTACATTATATATTTATTATATATTTATCTACATTATATATTTATTATATATTTAAGTATTTACTTACTGTTTATAGATTCCGTCGTCGGATTATTTCTTCTACGTAATGTCAACTAGGTATACCGATTTTACAGGTTATAGATACAAATTTAAATTTTTTCGGTTAGCTGCCCTGCACTACTTACTCTAGGTTTGTTCTTTCGACTGTAAACTGGCTGCACTAGTTCACGAAGTTTGCACTAATGCGTTCTTTCGATCAGAACAGTGCAAGAAAATGTGTTCTTTCGAACAGTGCAGGCTGAACTAGTGCAGCGAGTTCAGTGAACTGACTGCCCTAGGTCTGGAGGTAGAGCAAGCAGTGCAGGGCAGCTAACCGAAAAAATTTAAATTTGTATCTATAACCTGTAAAATCGGTATACCTAGTTGACATTACGTAGAAGAAATAATCCGACGACGGAATCTATAAACAGTAAGTAAATACTTAAATATATAATAAATATATAATGTAGATAAATATATAATAAATATATAATGTAGAATGACATAAAAGAAGTATTTAGAATGTTATCCAAACAGCACAAAATATCCGAAAGACATCCTGGGAAGGCTCTTGGACGTTTTTTCGGAGGGATTTGTTGTATGGGTATCCAACACAAAACAGTTTTTAAAAGAAATAGGATTGTTCAACAAAACATAAAATGCTATAAGTGCGAAAGTGTTGTCCGCCATCTTACACTGCTCTAACTTGCTCTTATCCGTTCTTTTCAGACCCATATGTATCTTTGCACTGGTCTGCACTATCTTGAACTTTCTTCAACTAGTACAGTTCCAGTGCAGCCCTAGGTCAGGTCGAAAGAACAAACCTTCTACCTCCAGACCTAGGGCAGTCAGTTCACTGAACTCGCTGCACTAGTTCAGCCTGCACTGTTCGAAAGAACACATTTTCTTGCACTGTTCTGATCGAAAGAACGCATTAGTGCAAACTTCGTGAACTAGTGCAGCCAGTTCAGGTCGAAAGAACAAACCTGTAAACACCCAGTATTGAGTGGTCTTGAACTATGAAGATACTAGATGGTTGTACCTATTACATTTTCCGACCCAAATGGAACTAACTCGTACTTGATTTAACGTAAATACCCATAGGCTGCGTTCCGAAATTCACTGCCAGTGCTGAAATTCTATAGTATACGTAACATGAATTATAGATTTTCAGTACTGACAGTGAATTTCGGAACGCAGCTATACAGATAACATTTGGTGGAAGAAAGATAAAAGAGAACTAGTGCAGCCAGTTCAGCAATAGAAACAGATTCACAGTTTGGAGGCCCTGCTTGGCTGCGTTCAGATTCCCCACCCGGGTGTATTCTATTACTAGAAGTGCTATAGTATATGTAACATATACTATAGTGTTTCTAGTAATAGAGTGCACCCAGATGAGGAATCTGAACGCGTCCTTACCGCCTCTACGTCCTAACCTTACAAATTCTAATTTTACACATGCTTCACATAGCATAATAAGTCGCAAATATTCTCGAGGAAGACTGAAGGTTTTGCGACATATCCACTAAAATTAGGAAAAAAATAGCATAATTGTATACACGACTCGAGATACTGAAATCATTTTAAGCATGTCAATCTACCACGACGAAGTGGAAATCGAAGATTTTGAATACGATGAGGAAGAAGAGATTTATTATTACCCATGTCCTTGCGGTGATCAGTTCCAGATATCGAAAGCCGACCTGATCGCCGGCGAAGAAGAAGCCACGTGTCCCTCCTGTTCCTTAGTAGTCAAAGTGATATACGACAAAGAGGCCTTTGCTTCTAAGCAAAGAGAGTTTGTAAAGGGTGAGCAGGCAGAACTCGTGACGTTAAAGGTGAGTAATATCACACTTGTAAATTTGTTTACACCAATGAATGAGAAAAATGATAACAAGCTTCAAGAATATTTTATGTGTTAAATAATTGTTCACTGTTTTTTAATTATTTATCAATAATAATTGTTGACTATTTTTAGATTCCTTAGGAAACCTTAGATCACTTAAGAAAGCTTAAATCCTCAACAAGAATAGCAGAGTATTACTGAGCAGTTGGAGCTTGCTACATGATAACTGGCACAAGTCTTACCACTTCCATTGGATTATCTTGAGCTAGATTTCACACCAACCATGAATATCGATCTTGAAAATTTAATAGACATGAAAAGGGGGTTTACTGAGTCTATGCAGAACTCTGTATATTTGCATCCAGATGAAGAGAAGGATATTGAATGTTGTTCTGATCGTTATCAGGATACAAGCAGAGAAAAATCAGTGTGCGAGATCGTTGATGTCGTCTGAAGTAGATTACTGGCAGAATAGCACCATCATCAGAGCGTAAGAAGACTGCTTCCAAAGCAAAGAATGGCATAAAGGGGATCAAAAAGGAGGAGAAGGAAGACAAGGATGAGGAGAACTCAGAGGAAGAATGATACAAAGAGGTGGACTATGGCACCGATTACCTGAACAATTACTTCGACAACGACTAGGATGTCGACGACGATGACGACAATCTGGACGACGGGGCTATTTATTGATCGTTGGGTGATAGCGCGATGATAGATAGATCTCGATGGTTCGAGTCACAATTAGGATTCGAGTACGAACGTTTACAGAATTCAATGCCGTACGATGTGTAAAGTTTCCTTTTTTTTATTATGCATCATTTCATACGCCATTATTCATAATAACATTGCCTGGACATGAAGATCGATTGGGGCGCGAGTATTACACTGGGGATAAAGATCGCTTGGTCGCTCGCATGGCTCATGGAATAAATGCAACCCGAATGTAATCCACGCTAGAACTTATGTGTCTCCTTTCCTATTCATGCGTAGCTGAGGACGAATTCTCTCTTTGGTGACATTATGTGTGTATGCATGTATGTATGTGTGGTACAGTATAGTATAATATGTATCTCCAAGTATTTGGATATATCTGACTGTCCGGACACCCGAAGTCGGTTCTGAAATTCTGAAAATTTAAATTCGCGTTGTTAAAATCCAAGTTCGTTAAAATTTTTCGGATTGGATTTCAAGCAGAGCTATTTCCGTGTAAAACTCTAACTGAAACACGCGCTTGAAAATTCTACAGTCGTAACAATTTAATAAATATTGATTGTCAAATTTTTGAGAGGGATCTGTCAATTTAATCGATTTCCTTAGATCAATATTATTGGCTCGATACTTGAAACCTGCCTCACGGAACTCGGATTTGAATTTAGAGTTGGTTGTGAGTTTTTCAGCTGAATCGCAATTAATATCGCGTATATAATTCCAATGAAATACTCAAATATCTAGCTCTCAATTAAGATCTGAACGGCCTGAGACAAGTTTCAAGTAATATTAATACGAATCTTCGATTCGGATCCGGTTTCAACGCTTCAGCTGTTCGCGTGTATCTTGGAAAATCGGAATTTGAAGCGTGATGTTTACTTACTATTCGAATAATCGGGTATTCGGATAGCGTCAAATCCGAAAAACATTGGAGCCTTAATCTGTATGTTTGTATGTATATATATGTGCTAATCTATACTGTGTTCCAAAACGGTTTGGGCACTTTTTCCTCGATGCAATTAGGAACGCAGCTATTGGCTGAGATGAGAGAACGTGACTTCTTAGAATGAATGAAAAACGAGTTCCTCCACTTGAGCCGTCAGCCACGTTCCCAAAGCGCGTTGAAGAGAGAAGTGGCCGAGTAGTTTTGAAATCTGGTGTACGTGGGGCGATCTTGAACTTTAATTAACAGCAAGACTTTTACGCGCTAATACACAATGCGTTCGTTTATTGCAGCCCATCATTTCCTCTTCTCGCCCCCTTGCTTCGCTTCGTGGGAACGCGAGGACCGAGAGGGTGTGGGGGAGGGGGCGAAGTTGTCGGTGTGACGTAGCGATTGTTGCGTCGGTAGTTGCTTTTGTACGGCCGCAAACTCAAACCCGGCAGGCACGCGCGTGATGGAACGATTGAAACAATCCAGGGCTCACAGGAAGCGTCGGCGTGTTCTTTATTACGAGAGTATTTCAATATTTTTCTCCTAATATATAATATATATTTATATATATATATATATAATATATATATAGCCATAATAATCTCTGCAATTATTGTAATAAATGACCCGCCTCTATGATGCGATCGGAGGGTATACAAACGCAACGTTTCGGGATTTGGGATCAGCGAGGGTGGAATGGAAGGGAGAGAAGGAGGGTGGAATCGGTGGGGTGAAGGGACAGGGTGAGAATCGAGTACGCACAAAAGTATCGTAGTGTTACGCAATGCTTTACGCACACCTCTCGTCAGGGGTGTCCCGATCCTCTTATCTTATTTCGTCCTTTCATCTTCTCTTCGTTCATACGTCCTTTCTTCGTTTTTTCTTCCCTTACGAGGCTAATATAAATTAACACGGAGTAAGAGGGCTCTCTCTCGAGACAATCCCTCTTCAGTCGCCGATCATTCGTCGTCCTTAAGGCCGGGTTCGCGATCGGAGGGTGTCTGCGCGGCTGTTTCAGAGGGCTCCGAGTCTTTCGCGAACAAATCGACAGACAGACGGAGAGAAAATTGCGTGTGAAATGTCTTCCTTTGCCTCTTTATGGTTTATATATTATAATATGTGAATGTATGTATGTATATATGTATATATCTCTAGGCTCGACATGACGATCTCGTAAAACGTGTACAATTTGGAGCGTCACGATTTGGCAGTAAATCGAATAAGCGATGTTGCATGATGCGCTGCGGCCCTTCGTCGTGTTATCGTGCGGCAGCGGTGGCAGCACACGCGAGAACCTCCTCTTCTCCGACCGCAATAAGAGCGCTAATTATCGTCGTAACGTAATCGCGAGGGATATATCAGAGACGAGTCTGTCGATCGCCCACGACGAATCGTGCGAGAACACACCACGGCGTCACCACGCGGAAACTCCTACGCGCATTTCACGATCATCGAGCGTGTTTCAGCGACATTTAATTGGTTCCACCGCGTGGAACATCTGCGAGAGAGAGAGAGAGAGAGAGGAGGGAGGAAAAGAGAAAGAGAGAGATTCGTCGTGTCGAGAACACATGTAACTCGTAACTCCGAATGTAAAAGTTCTTATCAGACTCGGTATTGGAGATTGATAATCACCCATTGTACATTAGAATCCGGCGAATCGACTGACTCCGTTCCGATTGATCAACTTTCAATTCTCAGTTTCCAACACCGAGTCCGACACGAACTTAACGTGGCTGTGCATATGTAGGTCTAAGTCATTCGCGGCGCTTTCGTTGTATCGTCGGCGTGACGCTCGTATATTGCGTGAAATATTTTACAAAGTATATGTGTGTGTGTGTGTCTGTATATGAGTGTGCATGGAAAAGAGATCCTTGTATTTTGTGTGAAGGAAAGAACCCGCCTGCCTCTTATCATCTCTCCTAAGCTCTCTTATGAACGATAAAACCGCCATCGCCTGCACCATCCTTTGTCGCGCGTATCGTAATGAAAAGATCGCGAAATTAGCTAACTGAGAGGCTGATTAAGACGTCCGCTGCTGAGTTACTCGAACTGAAAATCGATCACTATAGTCCGCGCCATATCTTTAGTATTATATTGATGCGAAAGGCTCGTTATACTTTTCCCTTCGATTCTCGTAGAAGTTTGACTATTGAAATATAATAAATCCTCATTAAACATCTGAGAAGAATACCCAGTCATTGTCTCGTTCATATTTCCATTCGTAGGAATTATTAATTCTTCGAAATTGGATAATTTTGTTTTCTATCTTATTCTTTTTTTTGACAAATCTTTTGCACCAATTTAATATCTATACTCAGCATAGCGCATATTCGCACTCGTGTACATATAAAGTTTATTATTTAATAGACCAATTGAGTATTTTATCACGTTCGCCACCACGCTTTATTTGGAGAATTCTCGCCACAGACCACATTACATTCGTTCACGTGTAATTGTGTAAAACAGACTCGGAGTTTGTTTATATGCGGATGTACAAAGAACGCATGCGATTTTGATGGCAAACGAGAAAAAAGAATGATTGTGTCAATCAGAAAACAGTAAAATTAATAATAAAATATGGCATAGCTTTTATTTCTGGCTTCAGTAATTTTTACGTATGTTGACCTATGCGACATCATCAGTCAATAGCAATGCGATTCGCTGCCTGAAAAAATGTATTCTTGAGGCAACGAATCAGTAGGTTAGCGCATCTAAGAATTCCTAAAAATACCTGCGAAACGTCCGAATCAGACAAAGAAGAATCTACGCGGCTCAAACCTAGAAACCAAATCTAATCCCAGCGAGAAATGACTCGTCGATCGACGAGTCATTTCTCGCTGAGATATTCATGGACACCGCGAAGGCCTCAAATATCAACTAAGAATTCATTCTTGAAGACAGAAAGGAAAGCTACGCCATATTTGACTATTTTTCTGGTCGACACAACTGTTCTTTTTTTCCGCATATTAAGTAAAGCTGCAAGTTTCTAGTAAAGGTAAACTTAAGACGAGAGAGATCGATGCGTGATACATGTGCGACGCTGGTGGCGAACGTGTTAACAACGTTACACCGTGTCTATCGATCTGTCGTTCAATCGATCGGATATCTGTATGTCACGTGTCGCTGGTATTACGAATCCTCTCGTCGCACACAATGCGTTTCTAACGGAGTAGAATCAGTTGATGAGATCTGTCAATGTGGATTTGAATATGCCCTTCTTTCTTCTCCTTGCTTCTCGTCGTCTTACGTTTGCTTCTTCTCGCTTTACTTCAGTGAAGCTTGCTTGCTTGTCGTTGTCTATGATCCTTCGCCTCTTCACTCTTTTTGTTTTTGTCCTCCAGCGCTTCTTCTTACCTTCTCTGAGCTCGTTAGCTTCATGCTTCCGCGACGCTGTCAATTAATCGTCATTCAGCCCGCTCGGACTCACGCTCCGAATTGTCCAGCGTGATGCAAATTTGCGCAATAAGCGGCGGGGTCTCATCGTGGCTCTGTACCATTGTCTCTAACGACATCTCCGTCGTCTATTTACGACTGACCAATTATTACAATGGTTCCTCCCCGCAATATCGACGTGCGCAATGACTTAATTGTTTATTAAATAATTGCGCAGGGCGAAGAATCATTCGACGACGATCCGGCAACTCGTAAACGTCTCGAGTACCTCGCAAATTAATTCTTTGTAACTCGTTAGATTTTTCTACGGGGCGCTTCACCAAATTCGACAATTTCTTCGCGTCAGACACGACTGATGCGTGTGGAGTTTGCTAACTTCGCGTGACGCATTAGTTTGGATTCTTTTCTCAAGACGGCAGAAACGACTTGCTCGTTTCCTGCGTGAACGGGTCGAATACAGCGCGATGTGACGTTTCGGTAAAATCACTGAACAAGTCGGCTTCTAAGTTCGCACGGGCAGTGTGAAAGCTTGCGAGGTGCTTCTTCGACGTTTCCCTAAGCGGCCGTAAAAAGCCGCTATATATATACATCTCCCAATAGTGGCGTTGCTCACACCGAACCGCTCGTCGTATCTTTATTGTCCGAGCGAAAGGAAAGAGGAAATCTGTGATCTGTGAAGACTACGTTTGTCGCAACGATATATTAACCCAGATAACCAAACCTGCACGAGCAGATTTTGCGCAGTCTGTTAGCAGTGTCTCGTGATAGAAATCTATATTATTTGTATCATATATTATTATATATTCGTCATGTCGCTTTGTTCAAACTTACGGAGAGAATGTTAGTTTCTTCCTTTTTTTCGTATAAATTCTCTTCAGTTTTAACTGGGTATTTCTACTTGCGCATTCCACCGAAGTGCGTATTCATCCTCAATTTCGAGATGATTATAAATAAAATGAGCACGAGCGAAATTACATGTACCTTCGCATGACGTGTACATGAAAATACTGTAGTAATAGTAGTAAATAGAAGAACGAGTAGATCTAGTGCAAATTGTGTAGATCATTTGATCTATCATAATATCTCGCTGTTTTTAACTAAAGTTATAATCATAGCCCCAGTCTCCGACAAGTCCCGAAGTGGAAACAGACCTTTGCTGTAATAATAGCAAAGTTTTTCACAGCACATTTTAGAAGGTACAATAAGTCACTGCAGAATGTCGATCCATCTCTCGGTTCTCGAAGTTCTACAGCAAGTTTCACTGCAAAATTCTCTCCTACAGATCTATAGATCTCCATAAATTAACATGATTTTCTAATTGAATCCTATTTACAGACGCCGCGACTAATTGTCTCCAATTTCTATTAGAGCCATCGACTCGGCAATGTGGTCTATTTTACAAAAGCGTGCTGTCATTGCAACGATTACTTCATCGTTGAGACAAACATCGTAGTACATCACAATCCAGTAAGCAATCTGTGCGCAGACTGACGTCAGATTGTTGACAGATTCAAGCAAAATCTGTCGACAGATCCATAGACATCTGTGTTACAATCTGCTGTTAAATTGTGCTGACAAAGTCTGCTGACAGGCTCTGATGGCAGAATGCGCGCAGATCCTGTTGTTGTTGGAGTCTGTCAACAAACTCTGCAACGAGCAATTTATCTCCAATCTGCTGTCAGAGTCTGATAAACAGATACTGTATGCAATCTATGTCACGAAAAAGAAATAATATAAATAAAGATGTATATAATTTAATAATATATAATGTAATAATTCGCAATCTTTGCAGCAGTGATCGATTCTTAGCAATACTCTTGCTCGTTAGCTTCGCAATGGCGCGAGAACGAAACCACCGCCGCTCCCATTGAACTCGATCGATTTTGACCGCGAATCGAGCGGCTCGGCATGAGCAGAGCGGCGCGCACAAGTGCCAACGATACGTACACGTACGCGCGCATGTTCAATCCGAATGGAATTCTCCAAGATGGAAAGCTTCGAAACAGAGGATGCGACAGAACGAGTCGGAGTTGCGTCGAGAAATATGCTACTGCACAGTCACTCTTCTCCTGCAGTCGTAACTCGAATCGGTGTCCGAATGACGTTCGTGAGACGTGCGATCGAGCAACCGGTGACGATAATCACTTCCACATGGTGATGGCCGGAAGTCACACCGAAAGTCCGAACGACAGTACGAGTACCGATAAGATATCATGCACAGATTCGAGGAATTCGATCGCTCTGTCCTCCTCCGCTTGTATATGTATATATATATATATATATATATATATATATATATATATATATATATATATATA